TTTGTATTCCACATTGTTGTAAAGTATAAACTTTTCATCGCCTATTACACTTTATTTGATAAATGGAACTTTTTTGTTTTCGTTATGTGGAAGCTATATGTTAAAATAATTAACATAACTAAGTTGGTATCAATATTCCCGCGTCGAGTAACGTTGTCATTCTCAAGTAATGTTTTCATTTGATCGCAACAGGTTTACTCTACCGTGGAGCATTGATGAAGAGGGGAGGGGAATACACGGTACGAAAATTCGGAAGTTTGATTGTTTACAGAAACCTGTCAATATTGCTTATTTACTCCCATCTCCAGGATGTATATAGAACCGGTAAAAAAAAAATACGTCAATATTTCCTTAAAAAAGATCGCATTGATGTAACAGATCTGTCTGGCAATAGAATGCCGTCTTTAGCGGGTGGAGTGTGGGGAGATAAAAATCTCCCAATTCTCTTTCCCAGCATAAAGTAGGAAATTAAATATAGCAAATAAATGTATGTGAGAGTAGGCACTCGATTCGTTTCATTTTATTTCTGGGAGTAGTTCACTCCCCATCAGACACTTTGTCTTATCGATTACAGTTTATTTTTGTTCGCAGACTTTAATCAGGTTGACATTTGTTACTGACCTGGATTTTGGCCAACTGAAGCTTAACGGAGTTTGTGGCGCCGCGGGAAAAACAAAGGAGGAATCATCATCATCATTATTATTATTATTATTATTGCTGTTGTTAATATTTTATTATTATTATTATTAGTAATAGTAGTAGTATTTATAATTGGAAGTATTTCTGATTATTATTAGTACTATTATTAGTAGTAGTATTTATAGTTATAATTATTATTAGTAGTAGTAGTATTTATAGTTATTATTATTAGTAGTAGTATTTATAGTTATTATTATTAGTAGTAGTATTTATAGTTATTATTATTAGTAGTAGTATTTATAGTTATTATTATTAGTAGCAGTAGTAGTATTTATAGTTATTATTATTAGTAGCAGTAGTAGTATTTATAGTTATTATTAGTAGTAGCAGTAGTAGTATTTATAGTTATTATTATTATTAGTAGTAGTATTTATCATAATTATTATTAGTAGTAGTAATAATAATTATTGCTGCTCTTACTACTAGTAGTATTCACTTGTAAAATTAATTTACGGATATATATGAATTCCTATGAGAAAGATTTTTGTTTTTTAACGGACGAAACAAACAACTGTTATTTTAGAAGAATATTTGCGTAGGGAGGTGTACAATTTTTTTTTTTTAATTTGAAAATTAATTATTTTTTAATAATTACAATAGAAATGATTCCAGTCTTCTATATGGCGTGTCTCTTTCAAAACGTGGGAGATTATGGCTCTCCACAACATTCTATCCTTGTAGTAATGCTTGTCTTTTTAGCATCCTTTCCATTTCCCGTTCTGTCATCCATTCAAAGAAGCTCGTTGCACCGGTCTCTTTTGCCTCTTGAGGGTCACGACATTTGACCCACAATGAGTGACAATTTTTCGAAGATCTCCTTCCTCTGTCCCAGAAATTTTAATACCCATTCAATATTTTTTGCCATTAAAGAAAGTATACACAAAGATGTTTTGATAAAATTCGACGATGTTTTGTTTTTGTTAAATGAAGTTCTTGTATGTGCCGTGTCTCTTCAGGGTGTGGGCGATCATGACTCTTCACAGCTTCTTGTCTTTTGTAGTACTGAATAAGTTTTGTCTTTTCGCTATCTCTACTAATCCCTGTTCCTCCCAAATTTTACATAAGCTTGTTCGGTAGGTTATTTGCAGCTTCCTTTTGTACCTCTTGCATTCAATATATCCTATGTGTGTCAAATTCTCCAAGTCCTCTTTCCTTATATGCCCTAGAAAATTAAATTCTCTTTCTGATTCCCAGTGTCATTTTGTTTCTATTTTCCTGAAAACTTCATCGTTGTTCACATGTTCAATCAATGGTATCCTCAGCATCTTTCTGTAGAGCATTTTTGTGGCCTCAATCACTTCTTCAGCTGTACAGAGATTGCCCATAATTCACTGTCATATTGGAGGACTGATATTATATAACACTTGAGCAAACATTTTTTTTTTTTTTTTTTTTTTTGTTTCCTTTTCTATTTCTCTAAGGGAATTATCTTGTTACATTGCTTAGCTTTTGGAAGCCATCTTTCGCTATTCCAAAGCGCGTTCGGGTCTCGCCGTCACATTTTTCCTTCTGTTCAAACCCAACCTCCATATTTAAATTTTCGTACTTGTTTGCTTCGGCATTTCAAATTCCTAGTTCGCTTTTTAGGCTTAAGGAAATTATTTATAAAATTAATATAATTCATTTAATTAATTAAAAATGCTTAGTGTTTCAAAGCTAATTTTACCCGACTATTCAAGCACTAATATTCAGGCGTATTGTTATGTTGCTGAAACTTGCAGTTCGAAAACTAATATCTGTACGGATTTACTTAATTTTAAATTCAAAAAAGATACTGACTTCTATATAAGATTTTTTGTTACTTAATTATTATTTTATCAAGAGAAAATACTGGTTGCCGTAAATGCTATCAGCGTCAGATTGGTGAATCGTTTGCGAATTTTGTTTATAGGCTATTGATAACACATGAACCCATCTCCCTGTCTCACACGAATCGTCAGATATTTTTGTAAAATATCTGTTCATTAGCATTCCACAATAATTGACGAAGAGTGTAAGGGTAAGTGAACGCTTCAGTAAAACACTTACCAAAAATATGTTTATTGCATCAGTCGCCAAGCGCTGTTACACCCACTGTCACTCTTGACTGGGAAAAGGATGCATAAAAGTATTAATTATATTAACAAGGAGGTGAACCGTTGTCAAAAATACTTGAATCGGTCGGTGGGTTTTACGATAAACCGCACAATGTTGACCTACTTTATTTGTTAAATTTATTTGGCGACTATAGACTAAAACTGAATTGCATATGGTGGCTTTTTGTTTCACTTTGCTTAATGTTTATATCGAATGGCCTACATTAGCGAATTCGTTAGGCTTGACCACATTATGATAGGAACTCATAGGGCTTTACACAGACATTTGCAGCCACATACATAATTTTACTTACAAATTAGGTTTCCTATAACGTAAAAAGTATGACAGGAATTTAAGTAATTTTGCAGTTGCTTCGCTTATATCGGATATATAAGCACTCTAGAATTTTTTTTATGTATACAATTTTCTCTATATTGCCATATCTAAGAATTCATATCCACACACACACACATATATATATATATATATATATATATATATAAGTGAACATTGAAGTCAACAGTTGGAGGCCACAGGCTGTTTCATGCTAGACGCAAGCGTCGGGCCACGATTGCGTCTAGCATGAAACAGCCTGTCGACTCTGAGTGTTGACTTCAATGTTCACTTTTATATTTACACACGCTCTATCTCTGATATTGAGCAATTTATCCCATAAATATACCACATCTTAAGACTATATTTTTATATATATATATATATATATATATATATATATATATATATATATATATAATTTGTTATTTAATTTATTGTAATGTAATTGTAATCTCTGATGATGGCATATGTAAGCCGAAAGCTTAAACAGGATTAACAATAAAAACATGTATCAACATGGTGATTTTCTTCCGTGTTTCAGTGATAATGCTAAAAAGCTTATTCGACAATATGAAAGGAATTTACTTAAAATAGACAAAACTTGTCTATATTATTTAACGAAACGTGCATTAATATATATATTATATAGATATTATATATATTATATATATTATATAGATATTATATATATATAAAATATATTTATAATATATATAATATATATATATATATTATATATATAATGTTTGTGGCCTCAATCTCTTCTTCAACTGTGCGAAGATTGTACCCAGTGTCAGATTTCCTTCTGCATTCAATATATCCTGTGAATCAATCATATTTATTTCGAAAAGAATAGAATTCAAACGTTCATATCATCATTTAAAAAAATGGCTTAATGCAAGAGTAGACCAATAAATATTTATTAAAAATTGTTACATTAGAACATGCAAGCTAATACTACAAAATTGCTTATTTTGTTTCGACATTTAAATACATCTCATCAGGTAGCTAACAACGATGGTTATTGCCATCATTGTTAACTACCTAATGAGATGTTGTTTATTAAACGTCGAAACAAAATAAGCAATTTTGTAGTATTAGCTTTCATGTTCTAATGTAAAAGTTTCTAATATATATTGAGTCTAGTGATTACAAATGTATGTCGAAAATAATGAAGAACAGACTTACGTGAGTGGAGCGTCGATGTCGACCAGGGAGTCCCAATGTGCGAACGCCTCATTCTCCACCATCGTAGTAGCCTTTTATTTGGATTATCAGAAGAGGTGAAGGCAGAGGTATGTTATAAAAATCCCTGCACCTCATACTTGACAGGCTTTTTGGCCAATAGAGAAACGAGTTATTATTATTCCTGTTATTACTGTGGTTACCTGACCCTAGTGAGAAAATGAATCAGTCAGTTATATTTATTTCGTCAGCCGGAACACTCTGGAAAACTTATTAAAAAAATAATCTCCAAAGAAAACTAACATGAAACAAAAATGTAAAAACGAAAAGTATATTAACAGCCTGGTCTCCCCTACTTGCTAATAAGATATTCTTTTTTATATATTGTTAACTAGAGACAGACCTGTTAATTCAAAAGCGAGTAATTACACCTGTTACTCTAACCGCGCAATCTTATTTCAAATAGAGAAGATAATGATGCGTGACCGATAATCTTGATAAATCGTGTTTTTATATTAAAATGTTTTTGAAGTTTTGATAAATGTACGTGTTTTATACTAATTTATCTTCAAATATATCCCGTTCAGTTTTCGATAAACCTTATATATCATTAATCAGCATTTTTTTTTCTTTTTAATATTTCGATATTTATTCATATCCTCATTCAATTTTTTCTTGTTTTCTCTTTTTAGGTGAAGCCCAAAATGAGTTGTACTTACAAAGAAAGAATGTTTAATTTACCCGCGACACAACAAGCCAACGGACCGATGCCTGCTTCTTCACCGGTCGCTTCCGCCTCCTCTTCTTCCTCTTCCTCTTCCTCGTCCCAACCCCAACTTACTAATGGCGGCCCCAGTCAAATCCGACTACCACCAAAAAAGGACTTCCGCTCAGAGTCGGAGCAACAACAATTACAACAGATTCAAAAGGTGTCGCCTTTTCCAACTTCAGGCACGCAATCGCAGGCAATTCGAAATGCTGACAGCCCCCTCGATTTGTCAGTCAAGACTCGAAAACGTTCCGCTGACACAACAATCTTCGATTACTTCCTTGGGGGGATGTCACCGCTGAAACGGACCAAGGCTGCTACGACGGGGGTACCTCCAATACCGTTGGATCTAACCAAAACAAAGACTTCACCAATGAAACAGATGGTACCTCCGCCTGGCATGATGAGTCCCACCTACACAACCACAAACCCTTACGCCTACAAAACGATGGCGCCAAAAGCCTCTTCTTCATCTTCCGCGTCTCCGTCAAAACTAAAACACGTTAAACCGTCCAAAGGTAAAGAAGTTCATAACACAATTCGGTCCTTACCCCCGGACAGTGTGAGCCGGATAACGGTCGGTCAGCAGCAACAGACTACTTCAAATCGACAGAAGCTGCCCGGTGGCTATATCAGCTTTCCATCAATGTTTACTCCACAGCCTACATCAGTGGGGGCTGCAGGACTGAGTCCTTCTTCTTTGATGGCTAAATCCCAAACAGGCCACGGGGGCGACTCAAGAGTTTCTGGTTCTCATCAGCAAATTTCGCACGGTCTGCGGGAAGTGTCTGCAGAATCGATGAAGTCCTCGTCACAGCGGGGCCTTACTTTGTTTGAACAGCAGCAACACGGTCAGTCAACGTCGCGTTCGCACCACATACAACAATACCAATATTCGCAACAGCGCCAACTTCACCCCAGTCAGCAGCAACATTATCAGCCTACCCGGCAAATGCACGCTACGGCGAACCAACGACCTCAACACACATCCCAGAGACCCCCACCCATCCAACAACAGTCCGCCTCAAGTCAGCGCCCTCAAGCACCACCACCACACTGCCAGCCCAACCCACGCCTTCGTGACCACGATCTCGTAACCCAGCAACACCGTCTCCAGCAACAGCGTCTGCAGCAACATTTTCTGCAACAGCAGCAGCAACGCCAACAACAGTCACCAATTCATCCAGCTTCGTCTTCATCGTCCCTTACTTCTCCCATCGCCATCTCTTCACCCTCCTCCCCATCTGTAACTGTGCTCTCATCTACATCGTCGTCGTCCTCTACTTCGCTGGCGGCATCTGTCTCCTCTTCCTCCTCATCAACGTCAGCCTCATCTACCCGCTTACTACCCCTTTCTGTCAGTAGCGCCTATTCCGAGATATCGGCTACTGGCGGAGCAGTTGGGGTGTCGGCGAAGGTTTTCCCGTTCCACCAAATAGAACAGTCGTCGAAGAAATACGACAACCTGCCGTCGACACACAAGTTGCGCCCGAACGGAAACGTAGGTATGGCCAGTGATGGTATAACAAGTAATAATAATAGTAGCATCGAGATGACGTCCGGCGGTATGAGCAGATATAGTCCCGACAGCACAGACTGTACGATCTCAGGGGTCACAAGACGCGTGCCGCTGGTGTCGGATCTCCACTCTCAGCAGCGCCACTTACACCAAACTTATCAGGACCAGCAAGAACTGTCTGCCCTGTACGCGGGAATCCCTATAGATAAGCTAGCAAACTCTGCCAACAGCAAAACACCTTCAGGCTATAAAACAATGCCGATGTCTCCGTACCACCAACAACAAATGTATGTACCAGCTGCATTCCAGAAACTTTCACAGGCCGATGGTCAAAAGAAACATTCTCAAATAGTCAGTAACAACATATCTGGGTCGGCCAAATCGGCTTCGATTCTTTCCGAATCTCCGTCGAGTAAAGCGTACCATTCAGCTTATCACTACCAGCAACAACAAAGACATATATTAATGACGGCTAATAAATATGAAGGCGCCACTGTAGTCGCTGCTACTGCTCCTGCTGTTTCGGGCCCGCATCATATCACCTCGCCACCGTCATCTTATTCGTCATCTGTCCCCACCACCACGTCGTCTTCTTCCTCCTCCACCTCTTCTTCTTCTATGGTGTCCGTCCAGAGTAAACAAAAGATAAAACAACCGCCGCAGACGTTACACTACAATAATCTATCGATGAAATCTCCGTCACGTTCGAGTTTGGAACTGCTAAGGATATCAAATGACAGCAACGATGACGTAAAGATCATTGGATCGACCCCAGGTCCTGGATCTTCCGCGTCCTCCTCAAACACCCCATCGCGCCCCATGAAAGAAGTACCCGTGATCAACATAATCTCTGATAGCCAAGAGTCGCTGTCACCCGGCCGCGGCTCTGCGAAATCTCTAGTCGCATCTGGTAACGGTCCATCAATAAGTGGCAGAGGAGCTCATACAGCAAGCTCTCAACAAGGATCGGAATCTGCCAAGATATTCACTACCCCTCTTTCTATCAACATCCCTAGTGAATCTTCGACGGAATCGTCTGCTTCGGGGACGACAACCGGCGGTGCTGGGAAGTCAGAGGCCGCTTCTGGGAAGTCGTCTCTGACTGAAAGTAGAGACCCGAAATTAGGTTCACGAAAACACATAATCATGAACGCTGTCAACCACGACGAAGCCCTGAAAAAGGTCTTCCACGTCGATAACGGCAGCGGTACCAGCCTCAATCCCCATGAAGAGTCCTTATCAGAAACTTCCTTTAACAGTATTAGCCCCGCTCCCTCGCCCAAGATGCCAATTCTTAGTCCACAGCACAAAAATCCACCTCGTATGGGATCTCCATCCACGAGTGACCCTCCACCTCTCGAGCCCAGCCCGGCCACATTCTTGGAAAATCCAAGTCCAGTGTCCTTCGTTCAAGAGAATTTATCGAACAATGACCAAATTATTCGGCCCAACTTGGAAATCAAACGGGCTCCGACTAACGCTCCCCCTCAAAGACCCAAGCCACCAATCGCTTACCTCCAAGACCCAATGTTCCGCGCCCAGTTCCCATCGTCAGTCTTCGGCCAGCATACGCCCTACCTTTCCGCATTTAACGCGCCTATGCATCCATACATGCACCTGATGCCGACGGCTGAGCATACGGTACACGCGACTGCTTCAGCAGCCGCAGCGGCAACGCGTATCCCCGAGGGTAACGGGAATACCGGAAGTGGAGTACCCCCAGCTGGTATGGCGGGTGCAAATGGCGGCAAGGTGGTTATGGACAGTCTTCGGGAGAAACGAGAAGGGTTTAATGTACGTAGTACTGTACGCAACAAAAACATTCCAGTAGCTAATGTAGCTCCTATTGTTCAAGGTAAACATTATCGACAAAGCACATCGACAAATAGTGGTAGAGGAAATACGAATAATGTTAATAATAATGTCGGTCCGAATCTGGGTTTGCCGCTGAATGCGACAAGTAGTAATGGTGAAATTAATCACAGTACCAATTCAGACGAAGTAAAGATAATTTCAGCGTCGAATGATGGGCCTTACCGATCGAGTGGGGTCGGCGAGAAGGGCAAATCGAAAAGCGGTTCGATCGTTACGGGCGCTGGAGGTGGAGGCGACAGTAGTGCTGGTGGCGGTGGTGGTTTGAAGGAAGCCAGCGGCAAGGTGAGCCCCACCATGCCGAGGACCTTCTTCTCCCCGCACAATATCATTTCCATGTTCAAAAACTCGAAAAATGAAAAGATCCTGGAATCGATGTGCTGCGACAAGAACGCCCAGCGCGGGAAAATGTCGCTGAAGGACGCGATTAACACTTTGCTGGAGAAACACTGCAAGGAATTGCACGTGGAAACGGACCAGGGTGAAGGCAGCCCTTCGTGCCTATCGTCTTCCTCGAGATCTAGCGATGTAGAAATCATCGAAAACCCCTTCGAAAGGGACGATGATCCACTCATTACAGAGACAACCAGTTCAACAACCACTCTCAATAGTACCACCACCAACACCAACACCACCAACAGCAACAACCATTCAGCTAACAGCAAACAACATCCTCTTTTACACCGACACTCTGGCACCACCACTAATACTACTACTACAATTACAACTACTATTACTAACACTACGACTTTCGGCACGATTGTATCCAGTGCCATTAATGGTGCAACCTTAGCTGATAACAATAGGCCAACCATTCCTAGTAATGAACGACTGCCTGGAGCTTTTACCTCGAAGAAACAACAAAATCGTCAGCTTTTATTACAACCTCAAGATCATGACGATGAAGATGTGATAACGTTGACTGTTGAATCAAACCCTAAATTTAATACAACCAATATTAATAATAGCGCGGGTACGAGCAGTAAAAATCGGTTAGGTAACCTCCAGACAGACGCTCATATGAACCGGTTAAAGCAGAAACTGCTTCAATCGGTGCCTGTCGACATGTCAAATTCTGAGGTCCCTTCAACTGGTTACAAGAAATACAACTGCAAAAGTGGTGATGTGCCTGGTGTAAACAGTACCAGTGCGAAAAGTCGCAACGCTTGTAACCATGTAAGCGACAAGCATCAATTAAAAGAGTCGGGAAAAGCCGAGGAGGCAGCCCTAGATGATCTGTGTCAGTCGGCGGTCACCAATACCCGGGAACGCATCCCGGATAAGTATCCCGGTGCAGATGGGCAGAGACTTGGTTCGCAGCGGGCCCAACACTGTCAGGAAAAGAAGAGCTTTACATCCGATATTCACAAAGTAGTCAAGAATCAGGGCAGAACGGAACAGGTAAGAAATTGCACTTCTCTTCACGGCTAGAAAGCGCCCTGCCGCCTTCACGGCTTGAAAGCGCCATGCCGCCTTCACGGCGTCAAACTATCCAAAGTATTCCTTTGTTAAGGAAGAAGTTCCACTCTGACAGCGTTTTCCCCAGAACTGTCATTTTGTGGAACACTCCCGAGAGGATGCTTCCCGACTACTTCAATCAACACCAAGTCGAAGGTCGACCTTTATCTATCCTACATATCCTCATAATATAATATCTCCCTCTTCTTCCCCTTTCTATCTTCATAATTTTTTCTCAAACCTTATTCAATATTCTTTTTCTCTATTAAAATCTTCTCAATGCGCAGGCTGGTAGGCGTAATACAACGTTTAAAATAAAAACGAGACGTCTATTTCAAACACTGGTATCCACTAAAAATAACGTTTCAATTAGTTTTATAGTCCGTCATCCATTTTTATGGATCAATTTATTTCATGAAATAGTAATCCCAAAGAACTTTCCAACAACCTGTTTTTAAAAGCGATTTTATAAGCATCTGTCGTTCAATCTCTGATATTAAACATTATTTAAAAACAAAACGATTATTTAAATTGAAAATAATAGGTTGCCACACACGAAATGACGCATTTTTGGTTGTTGATCCGGTCGTTCAACGAAGTAACGTCCATAGTATGAAAAAAAAAAAAAAAAATTTAAAAATCTGACTCTAATTCTAATTTCCTGGCTCTTTAGGATTTATTTTAGTTATATACGTTCATGATTTAAAATTTTTTCTTATCACCTAATGTCTGTCGGTTGATTCACTTAAAAAAAAGAAAATGCTTACTGTTCTCTAATAGTAAAAACAAAATAATATCGTTAGTTGATAGCATTCAAATACTGCCTGCCGATATCACGTTCCAAGCTTTTAACAATTACACCACCCGCATATCGTTACATGATAACATTAAATTCAATGTTCAGTATTTCTTTTTCCAGAATCTTGAAGACGTTTTCAACCGGACCAAAGGAAAAGACAAGTATTTGTCGGAGAAGCGTAAAACCTCCGGTAGAAGACTCGTGAGTATTTCAAAAGAAAACAACTCTTTAATGAGCCACCATTTTCATTATCAAGTAACACGTACAGGGCTCTTTCTTTTTCTTAACTTCATATATCGTTTACTGCTGGTGTCAAATTTAGATCGGGGAAAGGAGTCCTAATAATTGGGACGGGTCGAGATTTTCTTCCATATACAACAAACAGCGTGTCATAATGTTATCAAATAATGAAACGTGATAAGTCTGGATAGAATAAAAAAAAAACCATAAAACGCTATTTTATATATATATATATATATATATATATATATATATATATATGGCGAACTCCCCTGTCGTATTTGACGTATGAGTGCCAAACAGCTCAGTTCCTAGGAAGCGGGAGCCCACATATGATTTGATTGTAGTGGTGAAGACTTTGTGCAACCACACTTTTTGAAGGGCCGAATACAGAGACCTGGTGCACTACAAATGACCCTAAGCAGGTTTTGATTTCTGAGTTTTCCTTCTCCAGTTACCATCCAAGGCTATAGAACCCAGTCTGCTCTTCTATTTACCTATAGCTGGAGGGAGAAGAGGATTAATACCTTTCCCAAGAGAATTAGTGTGATGTTCACTACTCCACTGTGTGTGTTGGTATATATATATATATATATATATATATATATATATATATATATATATATATACCCACACAGAGGGTTCCCACCCCACACAAAAATTGATATCATATTAAAAGCAATTATCTTGAAAACTACTAAGTCTAGTTCAATAAAATTGAACAATTTATGTGTTGAACCTCATAAGTTTCTTATGGGACCCGATTTCCTAAGTGTTCAATATCTGCACCGCCTGTGATACGGCAAACGTCAAGTCGGTAGTTAAGCTCTTGCAACTAAAAACAAATTTTTCATCGGGAAACGTACCTAGTGAAAATATAACACATAAACGGATCAATCAAAAAAAGGAAAAATTAGATGCCGAAGTTGACTATTATAAAGCTGGAAGATTGAAGACAGATTTCGTAATTGACTTTTTGCAAGTCAACGTTGGAATTTTCTTCAAAAAATAAATGCTCCCCTTCTATTAGGTACCTAAGCAGCGTACTCTTTTTCTTCTTTTTTTTTCTTTTTGTCCTTTTTTCTTTTTTGTTCTTTTTTCTTTTCTGTTTTCTTTTTTCTGTTTTTTTTTCTTTTTCTGTTTTTTTTTCTTTTTCTGTTTTTTTTCTTTCTCTGTTTTTTTTCTTTTTCTGTTTTTTCTTTTTCTGTTTTTTTTCTTTTTCTGTTTTTTTTTTCCTTTTTCTGTTTTTCTTTTCTTTTTCTGTTTTTTTTTTCTTTTTCTGTTTTTTTCTTTTTCTGTTTTTTTTTTTTTCTTTTTTTTTTTTTTTCTTTTTCTTTCTTTATTTTCTTTTTCTTTTCTTTCTTTTCTTTTTTTTTCCTTCTATTTTCAATTATAAACTTCCTTCAGAAAGCGACACCGGGTGTTTCTCCCTGGCTCATTATAATTGTCAAGGTACCATGACTAGTGTTTCTTCTTCATGGCGTCTTTTGATGCATGTGGTTTACATGGAAGTGTCTATATCTTTTTTTCCATGTAACATACGACAGGTCGTAATCGTACCAGTAGCAATGAACTGTAATATTAACGCTGTAAAAGCTCTTGTAAACACAAGACATAATTTTACATTCGTAAAACTATACATTTTATTCTACTCCGTGTTTCATCAATTATTGTTGGCTGGTGTGCGCGCAGCCGGGTCCTTCATTTGAACATGAATTTTAAAATTCCCCCTTTGCGATGTCTGATAAACTGTATACTACTCTCTCCTCTGGAGTGGGGGTATTGATGTATATTTTTATCTGTCTTGCGGTTCCCCTCCCTATGTTTATATGTTGGGGCAGCCGCTGGTATCTCGTGAGGCGCGATTCTCTACTTGATGGCTAGGATGTTACCTCTCAGGCCAAGATGTCGATGCACCTGGGTTTTCTGTCGCGAAACCAAAGGGCAAAGTATTTTCTGGTATCAAATTACAGAGCAACACTTGACCAATCGATTATCGAACGCCCATCTTTGTCTTTACGGAATATGTTCGTCGTGATCAAATTCTAGCCGAGTCGTTCATGTACTTCGCAGTAATACCGTTAGAAAAGACACGAATCCCATGTTTCTCCAGCTTGAGTTAAATAGCAGAGTTGACAGGTCTTTCTTGTCTTGCTCGGAGGTAGATCGTCTCTTCACACAAATCGAACGGTGTCCGTATTCACATCTATACGAACTTGATCAAAGTTTCGATCTACAGACACAATACACATTTCAAATATATATAAACGAAAGTTAGAGCGATTCGATAAGCACAATTTCTAAGGGTATGAAACTGTAAAATATTTAATACCATGTTTAACCCTTTACCTGTCCAGTGTATTTTCGTGTGTACTATCCAAGCGTTCAGACTTGTTTTCAGGTTTCTAAATATTGCAAGGCAATTTCGCAAATAGAATGTGCTGATATATAGTATAATACAGAATAAAAACGTACAAATCATAAATTATTTACACTGTTCTGTGAATCAGATGTGATACAGAGGTTTTGATTATGTGAAATACTCAGCACATTCTATTTGGCAAATAAGCTGAGTTACCTTGCAGTAGTTATAAATCTGAAAACAGACAATCGTCCTATGGTCATATATGTTGCACAAAACATTAGCTTCGGCCTTTCCTCAGACTCTTTACTTAAGCGTCATTAGTTTTATGACTCTTTTAAAATCATGGGTCGGGTGCACCACATATGACGCTCAGACGTGGAGATCATATGTCCTGTGCATCACATGCAAAAGGTTAAGGTTATTTTACGGATTCTGAAATAGGGGAGTACACTAATTAGATGTTGAATGGATTCAGTAAGTTCTCTATTAAAAAAAATATTAGTTACGTCTCGAGATAAATGTAATCATTTTACAGCCGTTTGGAATTCAGTTTTTTTTTTTTATTTTACAATTCTCTTTCTTTTTCTTTGCAGGCCGAAGAATTAAAACGAAAAGCTGTTTTGAGAGCCGTTGTTTGTAAGTAACAATTTTTATTTAAATAATCCTTCATCACCTAAATCAGTTTCGTTCTGGAAAAAAAAAATCGAACAGTTTGTCAAGCAAATAAATATATATTCCCGAAGTAAACAGGATAGAGAGTACAGATCTTGTCGAGAGCTTATTTTTCGATTTGCGATGTTTATTAACGGTCGTAGAATGACGATCTCGGCAGAAGCGAGAAAAAGCAATTAAAATGTGAAGTAATTAGTTAAAAATAATTGACCGTGTTTCATTTAATACAAATAAAAATGTCAGGTAATGCTTTATATATATATATATATATATATATATATATATATATATATATATATATATATATATACACTGGTGTTTTAAATTTTCGCTTTTTTGTTGTTGTTTGTTTGTTTGTTTTTTTTTATATCCATTCATCATTCAATATATATTTTATATTTTTCTGTCTTTCCGCCATTACAGACCGGAAAACCCTTTACCAGGAATTTAACGAACGGATTCGAATAGGACGTACCCACAAGGACGGAGAAAGCCGCATCATCATGACAAGGTCCAGTACCAGGGATAGAGGTTCACAAAGGACGCGCCGCCGGTCATCCCTTCGGCCGAGGGCTGCCCGTCCTCAGCGTGGTGCCCTCGTCGAAAAAGACAGCGAGGAGGATGAAAGTTTACCCGGATGCTGGGAAATCGAACGCAGTAGTCCCTCTCTGAGACTGCGCAGAAGACGCGGAGGTGCTATCGCCGCAAACAATAGTAATAGTATTAGTAATATAAATGATTCCACAGCTGGGTCAGGGAGTATTAATAATAATAATAATAATAATAATAATACGAACACTAACAAAAGGCGTCTCATGATGACCTTGCACTGGAGACCACGGAGAGCTTCCAAAAATTTCTGCGTTGCCGGTCGAAGGAAGTACCGTGTTGTGACTCGATATTCGTCCAGGAGCAAACGAAATATGTTTGGAAGCCAGTTACCGCATAGCTACAACCGGCAGACACTTGACTGGGCAGAAGTACGCCAACTGCCCGTGCCGGCTCGCAAAAATCCACCCGGTAGTTCTACTCGTACAACTACGGTGGATATGGAAGAACTTCGAGATGATGAAACAGAAAGCGTGGTAAGTTGTTTTAAACAATTCTTTTCTTAACATCATTATTACTGGATTTTTGAAGCTGAGCAACAGCACCTTCCTCGGTATCGGCAAAAATTCTAGTAACGCTGTTTCTTTTACAATATCAATCTTTTGAAATTCCTATTTCAGATTGTTTGTGTATATATATATATATATATATATATATATATATATATATATATATATATATATATATATTGTTACCAGTGCATTAGATATTATAGACACGTCTCTAAAATTAAAGTCAATCTATTGTAAACTTCATATTCTCGTTGTAAAGCGTACTATTTTGTGGAACAGACTCCCACGTTGGTGTTTTCTTTTAACTATAGAATCTTAACCTCACTAAGTCAAGGGTCAATTGCTGTCAATCCTCATTATCGTCATCCTCTTCACTTTCATATACCGCTTCTTACATTTATATCACACATCTCATTCAGTAATCGTCTACCATGAGTGGCTCTTGAGGCTTTTACTGAGTGAACTTTATTAATTAAAAAAAATACCGATCATATTTGTTTTCTATTATGTCTGAGATCAGGTTAATTATTTATAAATCTTTTGGTATCTGTCGATATTTCTGCGATGAGGTATTATATTCACTATTTACATTGCTCGGACTATCATCCTCATCTTTGTTGCTATATTTATCACAACATTTCGGCCGTTGTACGCTCCGGCCTTCTTCAGGTGGTTGGAATGTCGAACTGAACGCTTTATTTCGCTCGCTGGGCTAGACTGTTCTAGTTCCAATTGCCATGTTTAATGGATTTTAGTTATTAGTTATCTCCCGTTAATTTCCCTCTCCAAGTTCTCAACCGCCTTAACCAGGTATTGAACTCACGCACTTTGGGTCCTGTCACTGGATCTAACTAACGCCTTTATCCACTGTGCCATAGTTAGATCCAGTGACAGGACCCAAAGCGTGTGAGTTCAATACCTGGTTAGGGTGGTTGAGAGCCTGGAGAGGGGAATTAATAACTGATAACTGATAACTGACATCCATTAGACATGGCACGTGGAACTAGAACAGTCTAGCCTAGCGAGCGAAATAAAAGGGTTTAGTTCAATATTTCAACCACCTGAAGAAGGCCGGAGCGTACAACGGCCGAAACTTTGTGATGATTATGGCAACAAAGATGAGGATGATAGTCCGAGCAATATAAATAGTATAATTCTTTTATAGTAAACAAACATCGCACAAAATGTTTTTCAGAATACGCATGTTACTGGTGTTTTTGGTTACCCTGTAGACACCCTGTGAAATAAGTTACCACGCCCTCATTACATTCTGTGCTGCTGGTGTGGTTTCTGTAAGGAATAGTTTTTTTTTCTCCGAGATCGTGTTGCTAGCCTTACGTTCGCCCGATTTTTGGATGCAGAGATCTTCTCTCCAAAGCTAGAGAGTTCCATTTGCCTTACAGTTAACTCATAATTTGGAGATGGGTTCTTGCATTTTTCCAAGGTTATTTGTGCAAAGGCAGACGCAACGCCCTCCGTTGAAATTTGAATTCGGCACCACCGATCATTTCTACGCTCCACCGCACTTCCAATACATGGATATAACCAGTGGGAAATACGACATTTTTAAGCAATGGCACACCTCGGAGCAGATGAAAATACCACGGTACACTTAGCAAAATAGACATTTAAATGTTATAAAACCGTAGATTTAAAAAAAAAAATACAGAAGCAAATATGAAACTTTATTTCAATGTTTCTATTCAACTATTTGTGCAGCTTATTTAGTGTGAAACCTCTGCCTGCTAATTTTGTTCGCAATTTCTTCAATGTTTGGTCGAATGTGCAATAAGCAGACCCCCATTACTTCTTCAGTTAATCCTAGACTTTTTCGCTTCTTATTTTTCATGTTATTTAGGGTTGACAATCCTAATTCCAATAAATAAGAAGTAGAAAATTGCAATAAAACTGATAAAGCCTTTTTAGCTAATGTGAAATATTCTCTTTGTATTGAAATCCAAAATATATCAATGGGTACCGTCAAATGTTTTATTTTGAGCCCTCGATCACTAGAAATTGTGACCAATTCTTCTTCATATAACTGAAATCCAATATTAAACGGGATTTCGAAATCCAATTATACCTTCACGATACACTTAAAAGGATGACGGCAGTTGAGAATCAATTATCTATCTAGTAAATAGATGGTGATAAGATCGTAACATAATCTTTTTCATTGTCTTATTAACAGCAGTTAAAGAAGAACGCTATTTAAGAAAAGAAAAAGACAATGTTCAACAATATTTCGAGAGTATGTTTGCCTTTAATATATGTTTAAAAGTCTTTGTACAAGTTTTTGTGTGAGTCTTTATTCTAAGTACAGACTACAAATTTTAGTTTTAGGAAGGAAATACAAACCTAGCCTAATCAAAGCCAATAGATCACGATGACATTTGAGTCTCTGATCGCTCAACCATTGACGTCTTTCGATAAGTTGTCGCTACCAGTTTCATTCATTTGGGTCAAATCCTGGTATGGTTTTCCAAAAATACTAGGATGTAGCCAGTCAAATCTTGTTTACCACATTGACAACATCCAGCTCTATAGATAGTAGAAAGTACTTGAACTTAAACAGAATACACACACGCACGCACGCGTTGTCGTAATATAATGGTTAGCAAGCGAGTCTCGTAGATCACGTGTAATGAGTACGATCCTCACAGGATACCACACACTTATGGCATTTGGACCAAAGCTAAGCTTAAGAAATAACTCATATCTGTTGGTACTAGTTCAGTAAATGGAAATGGCTCACTAAATTGGAATTTCGACTCCTTCTTCTTTTGAAAAACATTACGTTTCCGTTTTCTTTTTTTTTAGCTAAAATCTCTCGTTGTTGCCTCTAATATTCATTGCTCGAGAATTGTGGGCAAGTGATTAACTGGATACACCAGGGGTTCTCAACCAGGGTCCACATGGGCCCTAGAGGTCCATGTAATATTTCTGGGGGTCCACAGGCAAAATATAACAAATTGGGGGTTCATAATAATATTTTCGTGGTCCATGAAGAAAGCCAACTCGGAATGGTTTTTATTATTAAAATAAAGCACAGCTCTACGTTTTTGCTTTTCCCGCATCTTGTTGAATCGGGATTTAGTCGTCTTTCTCAACTGTTATAAAAAGTCTGCAATAGACTTGACATTGTGAAAAGAGGTGATATTCGACTATCATTAACATCGATTGTACAGTGTAACCCGGATATAAGAGAGTTGTCGGGACCGGAGAAGAAGTCTCTTATATCCGGGCTTGGACTATTTTATATACATTAACACAGGCTCTAATTTGGGACCAGAGAAAATCTCTCTTATATCCGGGTTTCTCTTATATCCGGGTCTCTTACATCCGGGTTACACTGTACTAGATATAAAGAAATTCGCTTCGCAGCATCAGCCACAGGGATTTCCTTGAATGAATGTCTTTTTTTTTTTTCTAATCATGCACTTAAATTGGTTTATTAAAACTGTGTGCATAAATAAATGCTGCAGGGAATTCAATTGCCTGAAGAGATCTGCTCCCCGTGGCCTTGACCATGAAAGAAACATTGTAATGTCGTAATACAAGTTATTGGTCAATAAAAATTAATAATTTTAGAATAAACTATTTGCATTAAATTAATTTCCATTTAAAAATAAATTTTAATTATATAATATTTCTTTGATTATTAAAAACCTTAAATTTTTTATTAGTGAAAAATAGAATATTGTCGTATGTCAAATAGCTATTAAGGTGTCCACCAAGAAAAAAAAGCAGGGAAAAGTGGTCCATGGGTAAAAAGATTGGGAACCGCTGAGATACCCTTTTCTCCTGAAAATCTCCGAGAACTATAACAACAAAAAAGGTATTACACACATTGACAACCTCGACAGAGCAAGTGCGGGAGAGTGGCAGCAGATGAAAGAGAGTAATATCGGCAAGTGTTATCAACACAAAATACGAAATTTATTAATCGAGTTCAAATTCCGTCCATTTTTTTTTTTTTTTCTCGCACTCTCTCATTACCAGATATTTTGACGCAAAAAAAATTTCATCACGTTCATACCTCCGATGATTTGGAGGGAGGGGGAGAGACAGAGAGAGAAAGAAAAGACGATGGTGTCGTCTGCTTTTGACGATCTAGCTTGGTGCACTATTTGCAAAAAAAGATGTTATACTCTTCATCAACCCTGACAAGTAACGAGCACACGCACACGGCTGGGCGTCATATTCACATTCTCATCTACACTAATAGTATTATTCGTAGAAATTTTTTTTTTTCTTTCTTTTTTTTTTTTTTTTTTTTTTCGTTTTTCTAGTCGAAATAGTGCGTCCTAATTATTAGTAATTTATGATTTGCGCTTTCATCGAGAAGAAAGAATGCGTCATCAAATTCTTAAATTACTTATGTTTTCACACGAACACGTATTTAATAGGATTTATTTAGGCAGCAAAACTTCTTTTATGTATGTTTTATTAAATACAACAGATAAGATATATCTTAAGCCGTTTGTCGAGATTCTGCTGGCGATGAATAAGTTGTTCGATGCCTGATAAAAAAATTGTTAAAGAACTTGCCGAAATTGTGTGCTGTACAATTTCTACTACAGTTAATTATTTTTTAAGAAAAGAAAGCAGAATTGCAGCGTTTATGTTTTTAACAGTCCGTTGTTTGAAATGAACACCAGATCCCATGCTATGATGGTTGAACAGATTTTAACGTTACGTGACTAAAATGAATTTGTGTCAAAGGCATTTAATATTATAGCGGAAAATAGGACTTTGTATTTTGAATGAATTGTTTTACAATTTATTTTAAAATATACATCGATGAATCGGTTTCTCTATAGAAAAGTTAAGTATGCATTTCTCTCGCCCGCTTGTTCTCGCGGCCCCGAGTATGGTGGCTCGTTCTCGCGGCCCCGAGTATGGTGGCTCATTCTCGCGGCCCCGAGTATGGTGGCTCATTCTCGCGGCCACACACATTTTCG